TCGGCACGAGTGTTCAGCCCGTCGGCGCAGCAGTGTCGCGCTCGCTTGTGATAAGCACCTCGATGGCACAAGTGTCTCGTGAGCGGACGCTGCTCGAACGGTCGTTCCGGCGCGCTGCTGGCGCCGCAGCAGGTGGCGTCGCGCGGTATCCAGGGAGAAACTCACATCGGCCTGCTCGACGATATGTTATTTCAGCTAATTCGCAGCGTCGTAAATCACAGCGAGCGATGGCTCTCGCATCTCGCGATGGATCTCCACGGCGGGCCCGGTCGTTCCGTCGATGAACGCCTTGTCCTCGCGGTCGCGGTTGTCTTGGGAGTCCACAGCCTCCACAAGGAGGTCTAACTGGCGGTGGTTCGTTTTGTGGTTCCTCCTTCCCCTCCTCGACCTCTATCATTGAGATGGTTGCTTCATGTTCATGCCCAGGCCTTTTCGTCGCGAGCGCTGCAGCTTGGGACGAATACTATACGAGGAGTGGTGGCGGCACACCATGGGCATTCGCATAATGAACATCAATGCAGCTGCAACAATTATCACACATCCACTCAAGAAAAATCAAACTGACTGCGCAAGTACCTTGACCATGTGCGTCATCTTGTGGTTGTCCTGCTAGTGGTAGGTACCCCTCTGGCACAAGGTTGCAGATGATGAACTCACGGCGGGCTTCCCCTCCGCAGACCAGGACATTGCCGATGGGTTTTGGGGCCCCGAAGTTCACGCTTTGTCGCGGGCGTCGTCATGGCGGGCCTGGTACATCCACACCGCAGAGCGCCTCGAGTCGCGATCACAAGGATGCTAGCAATGCCTGGCCGAGGTTCTATGCGATGATGCCGATGAAGTCCATCAGCAGGAATGCCTCGTGGCCATTCGCGAATGGACGGAGCTCCACTTCGCCACCTTGGCTCTCGATATCCCCTTGTACGAATCGTTGCTACTCGACCCGACTTAGGACACGAAATCCCATCATCGGTCCGTTCCACCAGTCCGATGGCAAATTGCCCAGTGGCTCATCCTCGCAGAACTCCTCTGAAAGCTGGTGGCATCTCGCCTGCATCCGAACGCGTTCCTAATCGGGATCCCCACGTAGACGCAATGAGTTCCCACGTCACGCGCGCGTCAAGGCCCTCCAGTTCTCCCAGACCTGCTCAGCATTCGCAGGACTCTGGCGGGCCGGGCGCCTCGGCGCTGCCGATGGGGCCCATCAGACGGAATTGACGCCCCTCGCGCATGACTCGGAACATCCTCTGCAATAACGCAAAGAGCCCACAAGGCATCCGCTGGGACGCGGCTCTGCTAGGAGGTAGGGACGACACGCGGGATGCCCCGATGCCTCGACACCGAAGCCGATCAGCCAGTCGCTCGCCACGCGTGGAAGGAAGCTGCCGCGGGGCACGGCGCCCCAAGGGGCGCTGCGACGGCAGCCATATTCCAGACGACTCCATCGTGATAAAATCAGGGCCAGGATATGGTATAGGTCCGATGATCGGCTGGTTCGTAGACGCGGCGGTCGGACCAGGGTGGCCACCGCCGTCGTCGCCGACAATGGTGCGCGCCGCGCGCCGCCTCGCCCGCCAGCGCCACCCCTGGTGGAAGTGGAACTTCAGTTTCTTCAGAATCTAGAAACTGGGGCCGCGCTCCCACAAGCCAGCCGTCGACGGCGCACTAGCAGTTGCTGCACTGCTCCACAATTTGCTCACAGATCAGGAAAAATATTGCCCAGTAGCTACCACTGATATATGTGCTCCTGATTATTGCACTCTGGCAGGTCCAAGCGTTGCAGTGCCTCAGTGCGTCGCAGAGTACCTGATGGCGCCCGCCCACGCCCTTGGCCCTCGAAAAGAAAGCATTCGCGCAAATGGTGTTGCGAGGACCCGCAATCGTGGCAGGTCATCACCTTTCCGCCAGTCCAACGGAGGTCCCTTGTCGTCCATTTCCTTTTCCAATTGACCGCCAGCGACCTCGGGCTCCTTTTCCTCGGCCTTCGCCACGGCCTTCAAAGAACAAATCCGCGCAGGCGTCTTCGTTGAATGTCGCGACGCACGCACGGATGCCCCTGCTGGCGAGACGTCGGCGACCTCCCTTACCCCCGCGGCCCGAGCCTTCGGCGGCACGATTCATGAACCTACGCAACCGTCGCATGGGCCTGCGCATGCACCTCCTTCACCGGCCGTTGGCGCACTGCTTGAGGTCCAACACTTCTTGAGCGTCTTCTGGTTTAGGGAGGTCGGTGAGGTCGCCCCGCGCGCCGTTGGTTTCGCCCAAGGGGTGATGGCACCCGCGTCGGCGCGGCCGCCGCCCTCCTCCGCGGGCCCCCCCCCCCCCACAAGGTAGCTACCGGGATAGCTGAGGACGCGGGTGCTGTTGGAGGCGCTGGCGGGGCCCAGGCGGTCGATTTCCTTCGGGCGCCGTGGAGTGCTCGTGGCGCCCATGATCCCGCCGCAGGCACTCACGGTTGACTCTGTCCATCTCATCGTCCGTCTTCATCTAGAAGACACGCCGCACCAGTCAGATGAATGTCACTGCGCCCTGGCCAACCATGATTTGGGCAATGTCTCCTGGCATTCAATATACGATGCGTCGTCGTCTCCGAATGGGTTCCAGCAACTGATCACGCCCCATCTGCGTCCGCGTCATCATTCCGCACGAGACCTTCTGAAGTTTCACTCTTAGCGCACGTACAAGGGCAATGAAAAACAGCTGAAAACTGCCCAGATCAAGCCGGGCAGATTGTGCTTCCATCCGGGCAATTTAACACCTGGCCACCAGAACAGAGGTGCGGAGGACGACGACGAGGAGGAGGATGGATGAGGAGGGAGGGAAGAGGAAGGAGGATCGTCATCGAACAGCGGTAGGGCTGAGATAAACGTGCTCGAAGACTCCGGGGGAGACTGGTGCAGACAGGCACTTCAGCCACCAGCTACCCGAACCCAACACGGAAAAAAACGAAGAAGGCAGCGCGGCGAAAATATTTCGTCTGAATGGCCCACTAGAATCAATGAAACTCAAAAAAAGGCGAGGGAGGATCGAACACCCAGACTGGCGAGGTGAGAGGGAGGATGGGGCAGAGGAGGGAGAAACATGTTGTTTGACTCGATGCGGGCAAGACTGTGCGCGTGCCTATATGGGTCCTGAGGAGTGCGACGAGAAAACAGCCTGGCACACTGGCGCGTTACGGGCCTGGTTACTCTCGGTACTCTTGTGAACGGCCCAGGGAGCAACTGCGGCCTGGAGGAGAAGCCATGATGCAGTAAGGTACGACCCATTGCGCAGCCTAAACCATTGGTTGGCGTTGACGGCGAATGCCATGGGCCTTTGCACTAGTGCGCTGTCCCGAGGGAACGATACAGAAAACAGTTTGGACTTGCGCGCTCAGTGAAATGGCATGGGGTGCCGCATTGACGGCAAGTCCAGCTTCTAATTCGACCCAGTTGTACTGCGCCGCTTCTAATGTGAATCGTGCCGAGCGTCTCAAGGGCCCAACCTGGTGGGTAGGGCTCCAGAAAAGAGCCAGCGGACAATCTCGTGGCAAAGGGCAGAGACTGGCGCAACCGGTTAGCTTGCTGCTGCAACATTTCTCGTGCGCTGATTGGGCTGATCAGCCTTCGGTGCAATGGAAGACACATAGAAGTGCTGCTGCGCAGGCAGTGGGCATGGCTGCGAATAGAATAAACTAGGGAAAAGACCCAGCGGCGGCCCAAACGGCCCCCTCGTCCTCCTCCTCCACCTCCTCCTCCTCCTCCTCCTCCTCCTCCTCCTCCTCCTCCTCCTCCTCCTCCTCCTCCTCCCTCCTCCTCTCCTCCTCCCTCCTCCTCCTCCCTCCCTCCTCCTCCTCCTCCTCCTCCTCCTCCTTCTCCTCCTCCTCCTCCTCCTCCTCCTCCTCCTCCTGCGAAGGCCGTAAGGCCTTCGCAATGGAATAAGCGAGGGAAAAGTCCCAGCGGCGCCCGGATGAGATCCCACATGGGGGTCGCGTGGTGACTACAAACCCTTTGAGGAGGCGGCCTTCGGCCAGGCCCGTGGCTGCATGCAAGCTGAGGCCCGAGGGCAAGGGTTTCCAACCTGAGCCGAAAGTGTTTGAGCTAAAACGGAGACGGAAGGAGGAGGAAGGGAGGGATGGAGGAGGAGGAAGGAGGGAGGAGGAAGGATGATGAGAGAGGGAGGGAAGAGGGAGGACGGGAAGGAGCGACGAGGATGGATGGATGGATGGATGGATGGATGGATGGATGGATGGATGGATGGATGGATGACCTCCCAGGGAGGTGGCATGTTGAGGATGCGGGCACAGCCTCCCTGGCAGGGAGCTGCGAGGCCCAGTGAAGGAGGAGTTGCGCGGCCCAGCGAGGGAGGAGGAGGAGGAGGAGGAGGAGGAGGAGGAGGAGGACCAAGAGGAGGAGGAGGAGGAGGGAGGAGGGGAGGAGGAGGAGGAGGATGGAGGAGGAGGAGGAGGAGGAGGAGGAGGGAGGAGGAGGAGGAGGAGGAGGAGGGGAGGAGGAGGAAGGAGGAGGGGGACCAAGAGGATGAGGAAGAGGAGGAGAGGGAGGAGGCGAAGGGACAAGGCGAAGAAAGGGCGAGGGAGGGAGGAGGGAGGGAGGAGGGAGGAGCAGGGGGGGCAGGGCAGAGAAAAAAACAGCGGGCGTCTCCTCAAGGCAGCGGTACCGCAGAAGTCGCCCAGGCCCACCCCCGCCTGGCAGGCCATGCACTCGGCGCTGAAGTGCTGCGGGCCGGCGGTCCAGATGTTCGGCGCAGCAGGAGGATCGAGGATCGAGGCTCTGGTGCTTCCTCGAGGATCGGGAGGATCGAGAAAAAACCATCGAGGATCCAGGCATGTCTGTGTCTTACTGTGCTCTGCTCCGATGACCCTTCCTGCCTCCCGCTCCTCCCACCCCCGCCTCCTCCCTCTCCTCTTTCCTTCCTTTCCCCCTCGCTCTCTCTCTCTCTCTCCCACTTCTACATCGGCCTCGGCGAACAGAGAGGGGTGAGTGAACTGGGATGGGCTGGGCGGAGGGGCTATGATGTCAGATGTCGTCCTCCGGCTTCTCCCCCTCATCCTCCACCCCAGCCTGCCTCCTTGGAGGAACAGGAAGTAGGGGGAGAGAGAGGGGAGGGGGGAGGAGAGGGGGAGGACGGGGGAAGGAGGAGGAAAAAGAAGAGGAGGATGAGGCTCCCCCTCCTCGTCCTCCTCCTTCTCCTCATCATCCTCCTGCTCCTCCTCCTCCTCGCTCACCCTCCTCATCCTACTCCTCATCCTCCTGCTCCTCCTCCTCCTCCTCGCTCACCCTCCTCATCCTACTCCTCATCCCCCATCCCTCCTCCACCTCGTCTTCCATCTCCCTATCCCTCCAAGCCCTGCCCCGCGGGCACGCCGAAACCTTCCGGGGTGTCGGCGCTATCATGTGGCGGGCGCGCGCGTCGGCACTCGGAAGAAGCAGTCAGACACATGGAGCAGGATGGCGTGAATAGTACGTTGGGTGTCGAACCGCCCCGGAAGGGGGAGAAAAAAGAAGTCACCTCGGCGATCGAAATACAAGGCGCTATATACACACATATCTGTATGTATACATACATCTATACATACATAAATTTATCAATCCATCCATCCATCCATACAGACATACAGACAGACAGACAGGCAGACAGGCATACCTCTATATTACAATTCATTTCATGCCATTACAATACCTTACGTTACAGTATATTACATGATGTTACATTACATTACACTTCCTGCAATACAATGCCATGCAATACCTTACATTACATTCCATTGCATTACATTACATTACACTACACTATATTACATTACATTATATTACGTTACATTAAAATACATTACGCTACAATACATTACATTGCACTACACTACACATGCATGCATACATACATACATACATACATACACCATACATAGTTTGGAATCGGCGGCTCCAAATATAACTGCGTGGTCATAAATGCTCGACGTCGGCATGATTCACAGCGGCGACAAATCGGGGAGCACGAGGGCCTGGGGGCCCCTTCTGGGGGACGCCAAATCTGGCCGAAGGCGGCGCGCGCTCTCCCGCCAGAACCCCGACCAGGGCACCCCCAGTCTGGTGGCAATCGAGCAACAAAGCTCTCATGAGCCGATGAGCACGGTCGACCCGTACAGCAGGGATGTGCGACGAGGATGCGAGGGCCCTGGAGGGTCATGCCGAGGCTCGCCGAGCGGGGCGCGGCCAACGAGAGCGGCGAAGGATGGACCGAGGAGGCGAGGATGCAAGGGCACCCTTCGGGTCGGGCGAAAGGGGGGGATAGCAAAGGGGGGGTTTGAGAATCAGCTCACGTAGCTGATGTTCCAGGCGCCTCCTGGCGCCGAAGGCGGCAATGTATCGAGGAATGGGCCTGGCGGCGGGGCCGAAACCAGCTGCATACAGCAGATTTCGGAACCCCCCCTTTCCCTATCCACCCCTTTCGTCCGGCCCGAACCCTTGGGAAAGTTGCCCATCCCTGCTATGCGGGCTGACTGTACTGTGATACACTCCCCGCCCGGCAGCTTCGCTCCGCGATCTAAGGCCCTGGTTGCCATGGAAGCTGCCTCCGTCTTCACCGTCCTCATCCCTCGCCGACTGCCGCGCGACAGCGGAGGGCGCGACACCCGGCACCCGCCTGGCAGCACTTGGTCGACCTCTCCGTGGTGGATGCCCCCTCGGAGGTGTCAACGAGCTCGACGGTGCCGTTCCCCTGTTTGGAAGGGGTACAAGGAGAGAGGGAGACGACGATGCTATGACGATGATGGTGGTGTCGACAAGCAGGTCGAAGATGGTGATGACGATACTGACGATACCGATGATGCTGACAATGATGACAATGACAATGACGACGGCGATGACGATGACGATGACGATGACGATGACGATGACGATGACGATGATGATGATGATGATGATGGTGATGAAGCCGCCGTGGTAAGGGGGAATCTTTTTTCAGCCATTCAACAACAAATGAGCTTCGGTCCCTGTATGCGGAGCTTCGGCCTTCCTCACAAGCACCCCGCAATCGCTTCCTAAGCGCTCCCAGGCGCTCCCAGGCGCGCTCCCGGGGGCAACCGCTCCACGGCAACTGTTTCTGGACTGCCCCACTCCGAGCAGCTCTCTCTCGGCAACTGTTTCTGGAGGGGCTGTCTCGGGATACTTCTTGGTACGCGGGCGCGCCAACGCCCGAGGAGGAGGAGGAGGAGGAGGAGGAGGAGGAGGAGGAGGAGGAGGAGGGGAGGAGGAGGAGGAGAGGAGGGGGGAGGAGGAGGAGGTGGGGGAAGACGAGCCGAAAATGCCGTGCCAAAGCTGAGGCGGGCCGCGCCAGAGCAAAAAGGGGGAAACAGCGAAGCGAGGGCTGTTTTTTGGGTATACGCGAAGCGTCAAGGGCTTATGCATAAGCATCGGGCGTTGGCGGAACTGGAGAGCATCCCCCTCCCCTCCTCCCCCTCCTCCTCCTCCTCCTCCTCCTCCTCCTCCTCCTCCTCCTCCTCCCCCCCCTCCTCCCCCCTCCCCCCTATCCTCCTCCTCCGCCTCCTCCTCCCCTCCTCCTCCTCCTCCTTCCCCCTCCTCCACCTCCTCCCTCCTCCTTCTCCTCCGCGTCAAGGGCATCGGTTTAGTGGGACCTGGTTTAGTGATGTGTACATGGAGACGCCCCCCCCGCCCCGTCCCACTAACTGGAACTGCCGTCACCCGAAAAAAAACACAGCTGCGGCAAACCTGGTTTAGTGATTCTGGCCCACTTCGGGGCTCCGGGGCCCTACCACTAACCGGGTCCCCTTACCTGGGGTCCTGGCTATACCCGAATGCATTTTCTTATTCTTTTTCTGCTTATTCTTCTTCTTCTTCTTCTTCTTCTTCTTCTTCTTCTTCTTCGACCCGCGGCCCTTGCCGTCGCACCCGATCTTGCCGCACGCAGAGGGCCGAGCCTGGCCGTGCCGGCGCACCGAGGCAGCGCACGCAGGTGGCGCCTGCCGCGCAGCCCTGGCTCGCGCGCCCGAGGGGCCCCACTGGCCTATACCAGCGAGGTTCAAGGGGCCCTGGGACACACAAACAAATACACACAAATAACAGGAGTCCCTATATTTTCCTGTATTTTCTGGGTTTTGTTTCCCCCCCACTTCCCATATTTTTCCATGTGTTCCTGGGGATCGACGATTCATTGTATCTGTGTGTGTTTTTCCCCTCCTGAGAGGTGACCGCCCGCTTGCCGCGTCTCCGCTCCGCATCCCCCATGCTAGAGGGCAGAAACTCCACCACCGGAGAATCACCACCCCAACACGCGAAGCCGTTTGGTAAGCGCATCCAAAGAAGGAATCAAACAGTCGGGAGCGGCAAAGAGGGGGGCGTCAAAGAGGGGGGTGTGCAAATCATGACCGGCGGCATGTGCGCGGCCCAGCGGGGGGCCAGGGACGTAATGAAATAAGAAGAGGCGCCATGAAATCTGTGGAAATATCATGGCCCGCGTCATGATATCCACCCCCCCCTAGTCATCGACCCCCTCTTTTCCGCCCCCGAAACAGGGCAAGTCTGTTTCGCGAACGCCTGGGGCCAGTTAGTAAACGCCGATTGTCCGGTGCGGGTGGTCTCTCCTCCCTCGACGTGTGCCGAGGCCTGCTGCGGTCGGGCACTGCTGCCTTCCGCGCGTCCCGGCTGCGGCCTGGGGCCTCGGCGGCGACGCGCGGTGCCCCCTGCGAGTCTGGGAGCGCGTCGCTCCGTTCCGCGGGGCGGGAGGCTCGGAAAGGCTCGAGACGTCGACGCTGGGGGGGGGGATGTGGATAGCGCTAAGTCGGCATACCCCTCTACAGGAGGGACGTTTAAAGATAGTCAACAAAGAATATGGGATGATGTTTCGATCACTGGTGGAATACGTCTGAATATGGTTTGACAGATGTTATCTGTCTTCCCAAATCCGCCTGTAGGGGGACATGCCCGACCTAAAGACAGCGTGCCGCGCCGAGGCGCGGTGGGCCGGAAGCGGCGGAGCGACGCGCTCTCCCAAAGGTCCCGACCGCAACCAGGTCGGACTCGACCTCATCGGGACTTCACTGAGCAGTTCGAAGCCCGAATTCCGGGCGGGGTCGCGAATCACGCTCTGGCACATTGAGGAGAACGGGGTGGCCAAGATGATGGGCGCGGCGCGGGCGATTACCCTTGAGAATCATGAGCAGCGCGATCGGGCTCCCGCCATCACCCGATGATAAGATCGCTCGTGGACTCGACTCTTCGACACAGGTGAAAGGGGAAGCGGGGAGAAGGACGAGAGCGATGGGCAGCGGTGGGAGCACGGGCTTGCTCGCTTTGGTAACGACCCCCTTCTTATCTCCCTGCCTCTCCAGTTCCTCCTTAACCCCCTCCCTTCCACCTCATTTCCTCCTTTCCTTCCTTCCATTGCCATTCCTGGATTACCCCTTCCTTTAAAATCCATGGTTCCTTTCCGCTTCAATGTCAATCCCTTTCGCTGAATTCCTGCCACCCCTTTCTGTCATCTCCTTCACTCCAGCATTCCAGCTGGGCTTCAGGTTCATTCCCCTGCCCGTCCCGCTCGGTTCCTACCATGTCCTCTCGGTCACCGCCCCCGTCCCTCCGCCCATTCCCCCTCCACCCCTCGCTCCCTCCCTGCCCCCCCTCCTCCCATTCGTTCCCCCCTCCCGTGCCCTCCCTCCACCCGTCGGGCCCCTGTCCCCCCATGCCTCCCCCCGAGTCTGACCCCATCCCTCCTCCAGATCCCCCCCCCCCCAAAGGCCCTATCCCGCCCACCCCCTACATGGGGAGACAACCCAGGTGCCGATACCGCTGACCCCCAGCCCTCTCCCGGGGGTGCGCTCCGACCGGGACCTCGAGGCGAATCCCGGCGGCGGCGACGAGGGCCTCCAGGGAGGCCCAGGAGGGGGAAAACGGGCGAGGGGGAGAGGTAGGGGTACCTTTTCCTTCTCTGACCTGCCTCCCACGGAGCACTGACGCACACTCTGACCTCCTCCTCCTCCTCCTCCTCTCCTCCTCCTCCTCCTCCTCCTCCTCCTCCTCCTCCTCCTCCTCCTCCTCCTCCTCCTTCCCCTCCTCCTCCTCCCCCTCCTCCTCCTCCCCCTCCTCCTCCTCCTCCTCCCCCTCCTTTCCCTCCTCCCCCTTCTCCCCCTCCTCCTCCTCCTCGTCCTTCCCCTCCTCCTCGGTGCCGTCGGCGGCGCTGGCCTCGGCGGGGCGCTCCCCCAACAGGGTCGCCTCCGCCGCTCCGGGGGGCGCCGCGCTGAGGTTCGGCATGCCTGCTCCGGGGCACATGTCCCAGATGCCAGGAGGCAGCTTCGCCAGGTAAAGATCACGGGGACGCGGAGGGGGCAGGGGATGGGATGTGCGGAAGCACACCGGTGCTGCATGTCCTCCCTGGCGGCCGCGCGTCTGGCCCGAACATGCATAGCATACCCACCCGGTCGTAGATCGTTTCCCGAGCGGTGTGGCCAGAACACGCCCGGCACAAGGCATACATGATCCAGGTCCAGGGTGCCCCCCCTACCATGCTGATGGTATTGGCGCCCCCCTCCCCGATGGGCCTGCCCCCCACCCCCCCTGCCTGTGGTGTGTTGTGGCCTGTGGCCTGTGAGTGTGGGGTGGTGGGGGAGCGTTCCGAGGTTACGTCTGCGATCTGAGAAAAATCGTCATCGTCGTCGTCGGCATCTTCGCCGCCGTCGTCGTCTGCCTCTGCCTCCCTTTCCGCCTCTTCGTTCCAGAGAGGGCGTGAGAGAGGGGGGGTGGAGCAAGGGAGACATGTGGGGACGAGGGGAGAGGAGGGAGGGGGGAGAGGGAGGGACGACGACGACGACGACGACGACGACGACGACGACGACGACGACGACGACGACGACAACTGCGACGCCGGCGAGGACGACGACGACGACGACGACGACGACGACGACGACGACGACGACGACGTCCCCCCCCATCCCATCTGGGGGGGGGACCCGCCGAGTCCTGGGACCCATCCCATCTGGGGGGGGGGGCGCCGGACCGGGAGCCAGGATTCTATATTATAGATGTCTTGGTGCGTACGTCGCCCCCGGGGGGGAGACGCACACCTAGTATATTAGTATGTTGGGATGACGCCGAGGGGAGGCCTCAGGGCAAAATCAGCAGACGATCGCCTGTACGCGCGATCCGTCTGTCCGACCCTGCGCACGTCAAAAGCGGCGCCCTGGAGAACACCTCTCCTGGCGGAGCTGCCTTCCAGAGATGGCACAGAGCTCGCTCTGGGAGATGACGTTGTCGCTGCTGGCGTCGGCGTAGGCGAACGACTGGTGCGCGGTGGCCTGCCGAGCGGCGCGAGGCGGGCCCCCGCGAGACCCCCATCCCCCCTTGCCCTTTGCGCCGCCGCGCGCTCCTGCCACCCGTCGGGAAAGAGAGAGAGAGAGAGAGAAATCTATATACATGTATTTATCATTGTATGATACGAAGGGGGGGGTGCAAATCATGACCGGCGGCATGTGCGCGGCCCAGCGGGGGGGCCAGGGACGTAATAAAACAAGAAGAGGCGCCATGAAATCTGAGGAAAAATCATGGCCCGCGCCATGATATACCCCCCCCCCCCTAGTCATCACCCCCCTCTTTTCCGCCCCCAATAGAAATGTGTGATGTGTCTTCTGGCACTTTCGACAGCGAGGAGGGAGGGCTCGGGCACCTCGGGCCCGTGCTGCGGGCTCGCGCCTCGGGGCGCCCCTGCCGCGAGCCAGGAGGGGGCACCGAGGCGGGCCGAGGCGAGGCGGAGCGCCGACTCCACCCCGCCGGGAGAGCGCATGCCCCGATCCCGGGCCGACGGCGGGGAGGAGGAGAGGGAGGAGGAGGAGGAGGAGGAGAACAGGAGGAGGAGGAGGAGGAGGAGGAGGAGAACAGGAGGAGGAGGAGGAGAAGGAGGAGGAGGAGGAGGCTCCTGCCCTCCAATCGGTCTTTCGTGAGCCGAGGCGAGGCGGAGGCGGTGGCGCCCAGCTGGAAGCAGAGGGCAGGACTGAGCACAGCGGGGGCGAGCACCGGGACTGAGCGCGCGGCCGCAGAAAGCTGCCCCGGAGCGTGGAGGAGGAGGAGGAGCACGAAGGAGGAAGAGAAGAAGGAGGAGAAGGAGGGAGGGAGGAGGAGGAAGGGAGCAGGAGGGAGAGGGAGGAGGAGGAGGAGGGGAGGAGGAGAGGAGGAAGAGGAGGAGGAGGAGAAGGAGGGAGCAGGAGGGAGGGAGGGAGGAGGAGGAGGAGGAGGGGAGGAGAAGGAGGAGGAGGAGGAGGAGGAGGAGAGAACGAGGAGGAGGAGGAGGAGGAAGAGGAGGAGGAGGAGGAGGAGGAGGAGGAGGAGGAGGAGGAGGAGGAGGAGGGGAGGAGGGGAGGAGCAGGACGAGGAGAAGGAGGAGGAGCGTTGCGGAGGACGTTGAGGAGGAGGAGGACGTTGAGGACGTGAGGAGGACGTTGAGGAGGAGGAGGTAGGAGGAGGAGGGGAGGAGGAGGAGGAGGAGGGAGGGAGGAGGAGGGAGGGAGGAGGAAAGGGAGCAGGAGCGGGAGCGCGCCCCTCCTCCCGAGCTTGCCCCGGGGCCCCAGCCGTCGTGAAGTTGGTCTCCAGCGCGAAGCGGGGCCACACCTGCGTCGTCCACGTCTGCCTCGAGGGCGGGGCGCGGGCCAGTGGGGGGGGCGCAGACGAAGACGAGGGCGAAGACGAGGGCGAGGGCGACGGTGAGGACGAAGACGAGGACGAGGGAGGGCGAGCACGGAGGCGATCGCGAGACGAGGGCGAGGACGAGGACGAGCCTGGGGGCGAGGAGGAAGGCGATGACGATGAGGACGGGGATGAGGATGAGGGAGGACGACGGTGATGCCGAGGGAGGACGACGATGAGGACGAGGAGGGCAGGAGGGAAAAGGCTCGCTCCGTTCGTCCTCGGAGGCGCGAGCCACGCCCGCAGCTGCCGGGCGTGAGCAGCTCGTCGGTGGGAAAAAAAAGTCGGGCCCCCCGAGCCCTGAGCCGCCACGAGGCCCCAGGTACATGTATACGAACGCACGAAGCTTGGCCGCAAGAAGGAAGGGAGAAGCAGCTCTTCGGTGGGAACAAAGTCAGGGGCCCCCGAGCCCTGGGCCGCCACGAGGCCCCAGGTACACTTATGCGAACGCACGAAGCTTGGCCGCAAGAAGGAGGGGAGAGGCGGGGGGAGGACTGGGGCGGCGCGGGCGAAACCCTGCGCCTGCGCCTGCCGCCCTGGGAAAAACAGGGCGGGGGAGGCGGACTGGGAAGGGGAGCGGCGAGGGAGGCGCCAGGGCGTAATTGGAGAAGAGGGCAAGAGGAGGAGGAAGAGGAGGGTCGAGACTCCGATGGCCTTTTTGCCTGCCGTGGACCGCTGGAACTCCCGGGCGGCCTCTGCAGACCTCCCGGGGGCCAAGAACGGCCCCGGGAGGGCCGCGGGACCGCCCAGGAGGGCCCCAGGACGCACCATTGAGGGACCCTCAGAGGGGCTGAAGACGGCCAAGAAAGCCCCAAGCAGGCCAAAGGAGGGCCCAAGAGGGCCCCAGGGTAGCCCCAAGAGACCCTAAAGACTGCCTCGAGCCTCGAGAGGCCCCGGGCAGCCCAATAGGGCCCCAAGACGGCTCAAGAGGGCCACAAGAGGGCCACAAGAGGGCCACAAGAGGGCCCAAGCGGAGAGCCCCAATATTGCCAAGACAACCCAGAGACGGCCCGAGAAGGCCATTCAAGGAGCCGATGTATAACAATGTGGGAAACTTGCTGGCTAGCTTGGAACAACTTCTGGACCCCTGTGTTCCCCCAGTCGTCCCGACCACATTCGAGGGAACCATAATATAACCACAGTCGAGCGAAGTTTACATCGGTGATAAGCCACAAGGGCCTTCCACAAGGGCTGTGGGCGTCGGTGTTTCGACGGGGCGTCTTCGAGACGCATTCGAAACAAAGTATAACTAGCTTTAGCTGCATCTAGATACGAAAAACGTATCCAAGGAAAACGAAACATTCCAGACACCATCATCGGAAGCGCTGCTGCGGACACAAATCCGTAGAACTTCAGCGACCTGCTTCTGCTCCTCCTGCTTCTATTAATCCGTCCCTTGCTGGCTCCTGATCGTGCTCACGTGCAGAGTCCTGCTTATGTTGCTGCCCTTGCCACTGCTCATCCTCTGCCTCCCCCCTTCGCTCCATCGCTACACTTGCCGGGCAGTAGCGGGTTCGTCTCAGCACACCGTCTCGTCCTCTCCTCCTCGCCTCGCCGCGGCCGGCGCCTGTTGATCCCAGCGACCGACGAAGGGCCCCCAACCTGGGCGAGGAGACGCCAAACAGTTATTGGACAAGTTACTGCTGATTGCAGAATTGATGATGTGCATCCTCGTCCTCCTCCACCTGTTCCTCCTCCTCCACCTTATCCTCCTAATCCTCTTCCTCATCATCAGATTCGCAATCATCCTCTCCAAACCTCGTTCCTCTTCTCCTAGTAAACTAAGGCCGCACTTTTTCCCCTTTTTGGCATAATATCCTCTCTCCCTTTCTCGGTACACGTTTCCCGCCTGTATCACAGACACACCCTGTCTGAATGTACCTGTACTTGCACGTATAGCTACGATTATCTGCACGTGTGCGTCTTCGAATTCCCACTCATCCACATATAACAATACACAGAGATACTAGACCCACGTGCGCGTTTCGCGCGCGCGTAGGTTCTAGCACGCCCCAGCCCTCGACAACAACACAGCTACGCATGTGCACGAATAGAACGTGCTGAACATAAGTTCCAACGACAATGACAAGCGCACCCTCAGAGGGCTAGGAAGGAAGCCTCACCACAAGCCCCTCCCTCTTGCCGACCCCTCCAATTCCTCATCCTCCCTCCTCCCCCCTCCCTCATCTCCGTCCCTCATCACTCCGGTCCCACACCTGGCCCATCCATCGCCTTCACTAATTTGTCTTTCTTTCCCCTCCTTCCCCCATCTTCCCAACTCCCTTTTCTACGCATCCTCGCCCATGCTCCCCCTGCCCTCCTCTCCCCGACTCCTGAATCCCCACTCTTCCCTCCTACCTGCGGCCTCATTTGACTGGAAGATCACACGGCGCTCTTAGCGTTCATGGTGCGCTCTCGTGCCTCGTATGGCCTCTCTTTGGAGGAGCCCAGGGGGCCATCGTTGGGGCGTTATGGAGCGACCACGGGAGCCAGCTAGGACTCCCTGGGGCGGTCTTGGAAATCTTGCAAGTAATAAACACTCATCCTGATAAGCACAAAAAATGGCATGATAGATCGTCATCACTGAAAGTTCTGCAACTATCATACGAAGGGCCTCCATTGTCGGTTTGTAAAAGCAACGGGGGAGGAAGACTATTCAGAGGCTGCAACACGCACTCGGAAAAAATGGCATGTGTAAAATCTGTTTCAAGTGTTGCCCGAGACAGCGAGGTCCAGAACACACGTCCAAAACGCGATACGAGCAGTGTTGTGCCCTTTTGCAAATCTTTGGGGCCTTATTGGGCTCTCTTGCGGGGGTCCTGAGGACAAGTCGGGCCTCTTGGGCACTTTCAGGTCCTTCTAAAGATGCTCTTGCCCCGTCCATCCTTGCCCCGTCCGACGCCTTCGAAAACCGCGCTGGGGGTGTTTCCCGGCTGGCGCCCGGGGGCCGTCGTGGAGGTCTCTTGGGCCGTCCTGGGGCTCGCTTGAAACAGCCCTTTGGGGGCGTGTGCGGCAGTCCTGGGGCTCTCTTGAACTCTCCATTGGGGCTCTCGCGGGTCATGCTGAAATCAACGTGTCACACAAGCACACACACACACACGCAAGAACCGACACGCACACGCGCACACGCTTTCGGTCGTGGCAGCCCGGCGACACGCCAGGGCGTCGGGCGCCCGCACGGCCGGAGCCGCGCGCGCACGCAGTGCCGGCGGCCAGAAAAGACAGGGAAGACGGGCGGCCCCTCACGGAGCAGGGGCCGGGCGGCACTGGGGCAAGCAGCGGGCAGCAGCCGCGGGGGCGGCGGGGCAGCGAGCGGGGCAGGGCGGGGGGGGGGCCTCGGAGGCTTCTAAGAAGGAGTATATTAGAAGGCGGGAGGGCCTCAAAGAGGCCCCCTTGCATTCTCCGAAGGCCGTCGCCCTCGCCACACCCCCTTGTGTGCGCGCCGCCTCCTCCTCCTCCTCCTCCTCCTCCTCCTCCCCCTCCTCCTCCTCCTCATCATCATCCTCTTCCTCTTCTTATTATTATTCTGAGTATCATTATCATTATTCTTATTATTCCTCTTCTCCTTCTTCGATTATTATTATTTCTCTTATTGTTGTCATTATTGATAATTGTATCATTAGTATTAGTAAAATTCGTAATACAGGTATGGTCGTCTTCTTCTCATTATTCGTAGTATGCTGATTGTTATTGTTATTCATATTGTTATTACTATTAGTATGAGTGGTCTTCTTCGCATTGTAGTATTATTGCTTATGTTGGTAAAAATACTGTTAGTTGTCTTCTCCTTACTACTAATAGTCATATTATTACTGCGACTAATAGATTTATTCGTATTCTTCATATTCGTCTTATAACTACTATTATGATTATTAGCGTTCGTCTTCTTATTCTTCTTCTTCGCATATGGTTGTTATTATTCCTATTATTAGTCTTCTTATTATTCCTCCTCCTCCTCCTCCTCCTCCCCCTCCTCCTCCTCCTCCTTCTCCTCCTCCTCCTCCTTCTCCTCCTCCGCCTCCTTCTCCTCCTTCTCCTCCTCCTCCTCCCCTGTAGCCATGTGGGCTCAAAGGATCTGGCGCCTCCACCAGCGCGTCGTTGTCACAACCCTTTTGTACGGCATTGCCCCCCCGGCGCGAGCGTTCCACTGCGTGGGACCCAGCTTGTCTCGCCGGCCCGATGCGAGAGGCATCGCTACCAGACATGGCTCCACAGTCGCGCACGTCCTCTCGGTCTCGGACGCGGCCCAGCTCATGCTGGAGTTGAATGGGCACTGCATCGAGCATGGCGAGCAGGATGCCATCTATGACTCCGACAAGGTATTGCACGAGGCGGGGAAGGTCCTCGGCCTCAAGGGCAGGGCCTCGTCCGAGGACGTGCGCACGGACCTGATTGCGAGGGGAGAGGGGGAGTTCGGCCAAGAGGTACTGCTCGGCCCCACCCTCCTGGAGGGCACAGGCCCATCCTGACCCGTACGTCCCCGCAGACGTCATGGACGCGTTGGCGCAGAACTGCCCCATGTCCGACCAGACCCAAACGAAGAGCAGCGTGGAGAGGCAACAGTTGCACAAGCAGCAGCAACAGGAGTACCTGAAGATGGTGCAGTGGCAGGTGCGTTGTCACGAGGCTAAGAAGCCCAAGAAGCAGCATGAACTAGTTGAGAAGTTGGCGCAGCTCGACGCGGCGGAGAAGAGGCCAGATGCGCTCGAGAACGGCATGGCGTACGCGCGGCGCGAGAACAGCGTGAAGCAGGAGCTCGAGCAGTTCGAGGAGCTGGTGCAGGGCCAGCGCAGGCGGCTGCAGCCGGAGCAGCGAGAGGCCAGGCCATTGAGCGGCGGCAGTCGAAACTCGGTGGGGGGCTCACCAGTACAGACGTGAAGATGCAGTCGCAGTTGACCGTTTTCAGTGACAAGTTCCAGGGACACTTTGAGATGCAGCAGCGGCAGCAGCAGATGCAGAAGATGCAGTCGACGAAGCAGAAGCACCAACAGCACATCGAGAGCGAGCGCTTCAGGCGCTAGTCCGAGCTCATGGGCCCATGGGGGAGATGGACAACCTCGAGGAGCAGTTCCAGAACCTGCTCCAAATCGTGGTCCTGCTGCAGGGTCGCGGACGAGCCCGCGTAAGCTTGCTGGTGCCGCCGCTGTGGAGGCGTGGGAGCAGTAGCTTCTCCCTGGGCATGGCATGCCGACGGGAGAGCTGGCGAAGTCCAGCAGGGATCTACTTGAACGCAGCCCCTTCCTCCAGCCTTGGAGGAAAGAGCGGCACTGACAGTCACTGGAGCTGGCGAAGACCAGCGCGCAAAGCAGCCCCGAGGGCGTGTCCCCCTGCAGGGGGATTTTCGACGAAAAATAAAAAATACCCCAAAAATACCCCAAACGGGTCAAAACATACTCAAAAAGTAGTCCCCAGACTATTTCTTTACTCTTTTGTTGTTACTCTTGGGGTATGTTTTATGTTTCGTCGAAAATCCCCCTGTAGGGGGACAGGCCCGATTTAAGGTCAATGCTTGGTGCGGGGAATGGGCAGGGGCTGTCCCGCTTATCCCTCTCCGCGCGCGGCTCTGGCCACTCGAGGCACCTTCCCCGCCCTCCTTGCCCCTGCTTCGACAACGAAGGAGGTGCTCAATCAGTCCTCCTCCCAGTCCTCTTCCTCCCCCTTCATCCGCCTGCACCTGCGGAGAAAAACATACGTGGTGTTTGGTTCCGTCCTCGAGGAGAAACCCGCACGGGCCTCGCACGTTTTGCATCCTCACGCCCTTGAAAGCACCATCCTACTGCATCTATCCGCGACCCACTTCCCTCCCACTCCCCCTCCGACAAAACGCCGACGAGGAATATTTGATTTGAAATGTCCCTCCCCTTCCCTCTCTCGCTCTCTACCCCGCCACGCGCGCGACTGCTCCCAAGCCCATTCTGTACATGGCAACCCCCGCAAACGTCCGAGCGCAGAAATCGCAATGCTGAGCTGAAAATCGAAGCGAACACTCAGTGCGCACCACCCGGAGTGCCGTTTCAGCATGCGGTCTGGAGCTGCGGGTCCAGGGGGCGCTGGGGCGACACCGCGGCCGCAGTGCGCAGGCGCGAGCCTGAAGCATCGACCCTGAACCGACGACACATCGCCGAGCCTAACTCTCCCCTACGGTCAGCGCAAAATCCCACTCTGCAATCCTCGCGCTACTACAAAGCACGCTGAACAATGAACGACAGGTCTTGGTTTTTGCCACGGCGGGCCTCGGCCAAGAATGGGCTCCCCGACCTACATATAAGGAAAAGGGCCCGAAAACAAACGTCCCTCCCGAATCCCAAAGTGCTCCTGACTGTCGGGGGCTATTGCTGAGCGCATCACGGCGACAGCCCCGGCGACACGCTGTGCCGTGCGAGCGGATGACGCGTCGCTCCGCTCCGCGGGGCGGGGGGCTGGGAAAGGCTCTCGAGACGTTGACGCTCGGCGACCAGGAAGTGGACAGCGCGTCGCGCCGAAGCGTGGGTCCTGACTGCAGCGCTGCCCCCCGACGGCCCCGGAGCGCCTGCGCCAACGCCTCGGGGCAGCCCGAGAAGAGCTGGCGCATCCCCGCCCGCGCCCCCCGTGCGGGCGCCTCGGAGGCGTGCCCCGAGCTCCCCCCGCCCCCCTCCTCAACCCCTCGGCGGCGCTCTCCAGCTTAAGGGCGGCAGAGGAGGAGGAGGAGGAAGAAGAAGAAGACAAAGAAGGAGAAGAAGCAGAAGCAAGAGAATAAGAAGAGAAGGAGGGAGGAGGGAGGAGGGAACAGGGAGGAGGGAGCAGGGAGGAGGGAGGAGGGAGCAGGAGGAGGAGGAAACTATGAAAACGGATGTACGTTCAGCGATGCTTTCGCGCGTGGAAGAGCACGTTGCGAACACGAGTCGAACACGGGCACGGAAGCGCCGCAGGCTCCCGTACCACAGGGCCAAACGGCAGGGACAAAGGGAGACAATCATACAGGGCAAGGGGGGATAAAACGTCGGTAGGTTACCGTTCAAATCTAGTGCTCAAACGGGTCTGCCTGTGCCCCGTCGGTTACGGCAAGCAAACCGTGCCGCAAACAGCGAGGCCTCGCAAACAGTTGCAGCAGGATGGGCAAGCCTGGCTTTGGCACGCTCAGGGAATTGGCGGAATTCGCGGCGACCCAAGGCACCTTGGCCCCCCAAAGTACCAACCGCAAAAAGCTTGACACGGCACAAGAGAGGGAACGCCAATTTCTCCTGGCAGGGCTCCTAGAGCAAGCCGGAGCATCCCGTGATAGTAGGCAAGTCTCTACAGGGGCCTCTTTCCCTGATAGAATTTGCAAGAGGAACGAGGGGAGCAGACAAGTGGAGGAGTACAATAAGATGGCTAACGTGCTGCATGCCAAAAATCTGCTGCCCCACGAACACAGTTCAATGTAACAGCCCCTCAATTGCTTGACTCACTGAATCGCATGTCCGATCATAAGTCGCCTTACGCGAGCGTTCTCTCATATGTTCTGCTACGTCGCATTCGCGAACATAGTTCACGATACGTGGCTGTAGTTGCCTCTTCTTGCGTCGCATTCGCGAACACAGCTCGCGACATGCGACTGCCGATGTTACGTTCTGCAGCTGAAATACATGCGGTGACACTTCCAGCTGTTGATCCCGTCGGCGGAACGTTCTCCCCATGCGTCCGGTCGCTGTGGCGGGAGCAGGGCGCGGTCTTCTTGCGCCTCTCGTCGCCCAGTCTGACCGCGGCGTGGTCGCACGTGATCCCCCCGCACATCCTGTCCAAGATCAGCTCCTGGCCGACGCGCCCCTTCGGCATGGGGACGGCCCTCATTTCACGGGCATAGCACCCGAGCATGTTAGTGACCAGTTTGGCGGCCGTTGACGAAGCCCTGCTGCTCGGGAGACGCCTGGACGGGGAGGGCGCGAAGCTGGCGGTTGGCGGCGGACGCCAGAAACTTCGCATCCGAGGTCTTCATTGACAGCGGACGAAGGCAATCTGGAGCGCGCATGCACTCTGCGCTGCCACTCGGCTCGTCGCCTTTCGGAAACATTGCCTTAAGAGAGAGTAGTTGGAGGTCGTGCGGAATGTTGTTGATGGCGGCGATGTCGTAGCAAACGTCGGCCAGAACGTCGAAGCTGTCAGGCGTGCGCAGCCGCGCCTTGTATGGAAGAGCGCCTGGGCCTGGTGCGGAGTCTCCAGCAAGCCTGGCGGCTTCCTCGAGCGCCCGCGCGTCAGGTGGCGGGAGCTCGCCAGGTCGGCGCCGAGTGAAGATGGAACCGAGGCACTCGGTGAGGCGCACGACGCCCACGTGCTTCCCTGCAAATACTGGGGGCCCAGTGCCGCATGATGGCCTGGTGCATGGTTGCGGGGTCAGCCGGGTCCCAGAAGGACCCGGGTCTCGGGACCCTCCGGGTCCCGGCGGGACCCGCCGGGTGTCCCGGGACCCTCCCAGATGCTGGCGGGACCCGGGTCCCGGGTCTCGGCGGGACCCGCGGGGTCCCGGGACCCCCCTCAGAGGGCGGAGGAAGGGATGGAGTAGGGATGGAGCAATGATGAGAGAGAGAGGAGGACAGGAGGAGGACAGATCAAGAGCGAGCAGCGGGAAGAGAAAGAGGACAGAAGAGAGATAGGGAGGACGTGTCGTGTCTCCGTCTAGGCGCCGCGTTGGTTATCTCGAGATGCCGCCAACGCCGATTGTTGTGCTCGAGCCGCCGAGCGACCAAGCAACCAAGAACGGGCGAGGAGGAAAGCGTAGTCCAGGGAATTGGAGGTACAGCCAAACTTGATGGTAAGGATGCGCGATAAGGATGCAAGCCCCTTGGACGTCCATGCCGAATTTTTCCGAACGGGGCCGGCCCCTGCGACCAGCCCCTGAGAAGGTCAGATGGTCCGCGACGACGACGAACGACGTTCGACGATCGACGACGACGATCGACGAGGACGACAATCCACGACGACGATCGACACTCGGACGACGACGGCTCCTCGGCGACGCCGCCCGCGCGGGCCCCCCTGTGGGACCCATGGGACTTCCCCAGTCCCGGGACCCCCCTGGCCTCTCGGGACCCCCCTGGTCTCTCGGGACCCCCCCGGTCTGTCCCTCAACGACGACGACGACGACGACGACGACGACGACGACGACGACGACGACGACGACGACGAGGTGCTCACCCAGGCTCCAGGGCGGAGGCGCCCTCCCTCACCCCTCCCCCCTCCTCCCTCCTTCCCTCTCCCCCCCCCCCCTCCCCCCTCCCCAACCCCTCCCCCCTCCCCCCTCCCTCCTCTCTCCTTCCTCCATCCTCGCTCACCCACTCCCTCTGTCAAAAGGCGCTGGGCGGCGAGGCACCCGCGCCCAGGCGGCGTCGGCGCGCCGCCAGGACGTGTCGCCGTCGTCGTCGCCATCCTCTCCTCCACCTCCTCCTCCCTCCTCCTCCTCCCTCCTCCTCCTCCTCCTCCTCCTCCTCCTCCTCCTCCTCGTCCTCCTTCTCCTCGTCCTCTTTTTTTGTTCACCATCCAAGAGTCGGAGCGAAGCTTGATCAAGATACCGGCAAACGCCAGATGACACATCGAATCGGCAAAAGTCGACGTAATCCCACAACCGTACCGGTACCGCGTGGTCCTGCGACCGTACCGGCACCGGTCCCGTGGGAGCCTGATACCGTTCCGGCGCTATAAATACTGGCGGTCCTAACCGGACAGTGCTGGCTGTCCCAACACCGCGCGCTCTTGTCACCGTACCATACCGTACCGTACCATGACCATAATGAGTGAGTCTAGTATCCGGAAGCCTTCCTGATGCCAGCCTTCAAGCCAGTCGCCAACATGCATCATGATGGTTACTAATGCAATCCACCAATTACTCGTAATACCTCCAACTTGCTTCTGGGTTCTACTCTATCTAACTTGTCGTGTAAGATGTACCACATGTCCGCATCAAGATCAAGTATCGTATCTTCGGATATTTCGAACTCTCCTCTGACATCATCATCCTGTATAGCTTGGCTGGGCTTGGTGTATTCCGCTGCGGTTAACCTCCCATCAACAAGTCCGGCCATGTCGTCATCCTCGTCGTGTAACGTCCCAGCCATAGTTTCAAATTTGTCTCCCGAGTTTTTCAGCGCATTGCGAGAGTAAAGGCTAACCTGCACCATTGCGTTCAACAGCCTTTCGTTCCATTCACGGACGTTGACCCTGTCTCCCGCGAACGCATTGAACTGCCGCGTGGCCTTGTATTCACCAGCTGGCTTCTGTCCTCCTCCGTCTGTTCTTGTCTTGCTCTCTGCAACCGATCCTGTGATCTTGGTAATATAGTCAACCACGTTCCTTTGCACATCCGCTTGGTACTCCGAGTGCCCAACTCCTAACTGTGATGTTTTGGCTTCTCCCTCTGCAGACATGTTCCGGTTCACGACACTTGGCAACAGAGAGTTGATCTTCGGGCCAGGAACAACAGTCATTAGCCCTCCTCACTTGTAATCGTCCTGGCCCCAGCTGCTGCCTGTCTTTCAACAAACTATTTCAGTCCTTCATGGTTGGCTCTTCGGGCTATTTTTATAGAACTATCACCTCATCCGTAGTAAGCCGCCTCACATACATCGCTAAATCGTGTTGGGTTTGGGTTACTCAGCTGGTCGCGATTCTGTGGAGTGTTAAACTCTGGGGGGCGGGTCTCCTGGATGCACGGGAGCTGCTGCAGCGGCCGCCATTGACCTCGCTCCGCTACCATGCACATTCCCGAGAGGGTTGGCACGAGAACGAATGGACGGTGTTTCTTTGGCAGTAGGGTTCAGCGCCCGCGTTGGTAACGACATCTGTCTGACCCTCGCTCTCGCACATCCAGCTCACCCAGTCGTAACGCTACACTCTAACACTCCCTCCTCCTCCCCCTCCTCCTCCTCCTCCTCCTCCTCCTCCTCCTCCTCCTCCTCCTCCTCCCCCTCCTCCTCCTCGTCATAGTCATCATCATAAAAATCATCATCACCACCACCACCATCATCATCATCATCACCACCACCATCATCATCGTCATCATTATCATCAGCATCAGCATCAGCATCATCATCATCACAATCAGCAGCAGCATCATCATCACCATCAGCATCACCATCATCATCATCATCATCATCATCATCATCATCATCATCATCATCAGTGTCAGAACCATCATCATAAGCATCAGCATCAACATCATCATCAGCATCAGCATTAGCATCATCATCATCATCATCATCATCATGACCCTCCTCGCCCCCCTTCCTCCACCTCATCCCAGTCTTCCTCCTCCCCCTCCTCCTCCTTCTCATCCCCCCTCCTCCTCCTTGTCATCCCCCTCGTTCTCCTCCCCGTCCCCCTCTTCTTCTTCCTCCTCCTCGTCATCAGCATCATCATCATCAGCAGCAGCATCATCAGCAGCAGCACCATCAGCATCATCATCAGCATCACCACCACCACCACCACCACCACCACCATCATCATCATCATCATCATCATCATCATCATCATCATCATCATTATACTCATCATCATCATCATCATCATCATCATCATCATCATCATCATCATCATCATCATCATCATCATCATCATCATCATCATCATCATCATCATCGCCATCGTCATCATGACAGTCATCATCATCAGCATCATCAGCATCATCATGATCACCGTCATCAGCATCATCATCATCATCATGATCGTCAGCATCATAATCGTCGTCATCAGCAGCATCATCATGTCATAATCGTAGTCGTCGTCGTCGGTACCGTCGCCATCATCATCGTCATCATCAGCTCCATCATCAGCAGCATCAACAACGTCATCATCACCACTAGCAGCAGCATCATGATCAGCATCAGCAGCACCATCATTCATCATCATCAACAACATCTACATCAGCAACATAAGCATGACCATCATAATCGTCATCGTCATCATCATGGTAATGGTCATCAGTACTATTATCAACACCATCGTCATCGTCATTATCAGCTGCATCATCACCATCATCATCGCACTTAATATTATCATCGGCATCTTCACCAACATCATCATCAGCAGCATCAGCAGCATCATCATCATCATCATTATCAGTATCATCAACATTGTCATCATTATCATCATCATCATCATCATCATCAGCATCAGCATCATCATCATCCTCGTGACCGTCGTAATATCATCATCAGCATCATCATGCTCGTCATCATCAACAATATCATCATCAGCGCCATCATCATCATCATCATCATCATCATCATCATCATCATCATCATTGGTATCAGCATGGTTATCCTCAGCATGATCAGCATCACCATCATCATCATCATCATCAGCATCATCATCACCAGTATCGTCGTCATCATGACCCTCCTCAGCCCCATCCTCCCTCCTCCCTGTATTCCTCTTCACCTTCCTCCTCCTTAGCATCCCGTCATCATGATCGTCATCACTATCATCATCAGATGCATCATCATGATAAGCAGAATCCCCATCATCATTTTGATCATCATCATCAGCAGCATCGTCACCATCATTATCATCATGATCATCACCATCATCATCCTCATCGTCATCATCCTCGTCGTCATCATCAGAATCAGCATCATCCTCATCATCATCAGCATCATCAGCATCGCCACCATCGTCAGGACATGCGGACAGAGAAGAAGCAGACAAGCGCCCGTTGGCACGACACCAGTTGACGCACATCGCATGAGGGAGGGGCACTTCCTGGCGGCTTGGCGCAGGCCCCGCGCACAGACGCAGAAAGCAAAAGTCGATAAGGATATACCGCTCAGCTTGTAGGCCATGACGAACTCGTCCACTTCGATGAGCTGGTCCTCGTGATTGCGCGGTCTGGGTGTCATACTTAGAGATTAAGCGATGAGGCAAGTGCGCCGGGGCGAGTCAGCACGCGAGAAAGGGCAGCGCCAGGCGTGCGCGCGGGCTCCGACACGAGAGATATTTGTCGGAGAATCGGTTCGACCGCTCCCGAGCCGCTCCACAGTGTACCAATCACTGGCGTTGCTAGTCCCAATTCGTGCCCAGATCGGTGCGAGCTGGTGGCGGGTGTCCCTCCAGATTTTGGACGCCCGAAATGGGCACGGGAAGAATGGGTACAATGCCCAACAACAACAAATGTTGTCCGAAACCAACAGCGGCCACTGTTGGGCAGGCGGCCCTTTGTCTCAAATGGACACAGGCCGCGGCGACACCGATAGCGAGCCCTGTTCAAAATGAACAGGAGCTGCTGTTGGGTATTGCACCCATTCTTTCCGTACCCATGGCGTTCGTGCCGACAGGTCGAGGGCAGATATCCCACACCCCGCAACGAGAGAGAGAGAGAGAGAGAGCCCGCCTCGTCGGGCAGAAGCGCGAGCACCAGAGGCGCGGGACGGCAGGGAGGCTCTGCTCTCGGAGCGCGCAGCAGTCTCCCCCTGACAGGAGATCGGAGGGCCGACGGGGCACTCGAGGCAGAGACCCAACGGCGGCTGTGAGAATCCGCCGCGGGGCCCGATGCCGCCGCCCGCAAGAGACCCGCGACGGGTAGAGCAGGCCTGAGTCTCGCAAGACACGAACAACAAAAATCATGTCGCACGGATAGTAGGCACGGCTGGCGCAGAAAATCGATGCGCGCGCGCGTCTGTGGACACGTGAAACACGCACGGGATGTAGATGGCCAGCCTCCTCCTGCTGAGGCAGTTCAGGCGTCTAAGAAAACAGTGACGCTTTACTGGGGGATACCTGCGCTATTCCAACACACGTGTAGACTACCTCGACCACGAACGGACATAACGCCCGCCTGTCCCCGCGCCCAAACCCATGCCCCACGCCCCCACTACACCTTTGCAAATTGCGCACGGCCAGGGCAAGTGAGTCAGGCAAGCACGTTGCATTCCTCCGCCCGTCGTCAATGCCATCCAGGACACAAAGACCCCACCCGTCCTCAGCATGGATCGAATCGATGAACTTGAACGCTGCCTGAGCGCTCTTGGCTGGCGCGTCGGGCCACCTGCAGCACATACACAAGGACGAGGAGAGACGGTGGGAACGGCGAGGAAGAAGCGAAAGTGGGCGGAGCAGCAAGTGAGGGAGCGAAAGCACCCCCGATCACTCGCCCAGGCGCCACTTCTCGAGCTGGGCGAAGAATCTGGGCGAAGAACGCAAATGACGAGATAATTGCATGGACGCACGGATGTGATGAGGAGCGGGAAAAAGAGAGTGAGAGAGAGAGAGACAGACAGACAGACAGACAGACACAGAAACAGAAACAGAAACAGAAACAGAAACATAAACATAATCAGAAACAGAAACAGAAACGGAAACAGAAACAGAAACAGAAACAGAAACAGAAACAGAAACAGAAACAGAAACAGAAACAGAAACAGAAACAGAAACAGAAACAGAAACAGACCGACAGACCGACAGACCGACAGACCGACAGACCGACAGACAGACAGACAGACAGACACAGACAGACAGACAGGGGGGAAAAGGGTTATATCAATAAAAACATAAATTGAAAACGCTAGAAATACATAATCATCCTGGCGAGAGGCGTGGCCCAAGTGAGGCGTGGGAGGGGGCTGGCAAAAGGACGGGAGCGCAGAGAAAAAGGACGTGGGCGAACAATTGCACGACGGCGGGGGGACGGGGTAACAACCGGGTGCTCGGAGAGTGTTTTCTTTCAGGCGCCCACAAAATGAAAATTTGTCGCCCGCTCCACGGTGCAAGGGCGCCTGGGAGAGAGACAAGGAGCATGGAAGTCGACGCGACGCGCACTGGTCGCCCAATTCCAGCGACGCGCCCTGGGACCTCGAGCCTCGCTCGGGTCCCCGAGGTGCCTCACTCCGCTGGACCCAACGGCAGCCCTCGAAAGTGGCAACAGCGTCGCAGATTGCAGCCCCCCAGGGACGGCGAGGTCTACCTCAGGCCCCCGCGGTGCCTCACTCCGCCGGGCCCACCAGCAGCCCTCGAAAGCGGCGACAGCGTCGCAGATCGCAGCACCCCACGGACGGCGAGGTCTCGCTCAGATCCCCGCGGTGCCTCTGTCCGCAGGACCCACCAGCAGCCCTCGAAACCGGCGACAGCGTCGCAGATCGCAGCCCCCCAGGGACGGCGAGGTCTCGCTCAGATCCCCGCGGTGCCTCAGTCCGCAAATTCCACCGGCAGCCCTCGAAAGTGGCGACGGTTTCGCAGATCGCAGCCCCCCGAAGACGGCGAGATCTCGCTCAGAGCCCCGCGGCGCCTCAGTCCGCTGGACCCACCAACAGCCCTCGAAAACGGCGACAGCGTCGCAGATCGCAGCCCCCCAGGGACGGCGAGGTTTCGCTCAGACCCCCGCGTCGCCTCACTCCGCTGGACCCACCAGCAGCCCTCGAAAGCAGCGACAGCGTCGAAGATCGCAGCCCCCGAGGGACGGCGAGGTCTACGTCAGATCCCCGCGGCACCTCAGTCCGCAGGACCCACCGGCAGCCCTCGAAAGCGGCGACAGCGTCGCAGATCGCAGCCCCCCAGGGACGGCGAGGTCTCGCTCAGATCCCAGCGGTGCCTCAGTCCGCAGGACCCACCAGCAGCCCTCGAAAGTGGCGACAGTGTCGCAGATCGCAGCCACCAAAGGACGGCGAGGTCTCGCTCAGATCCCCGCGGTGCCTCATGCCGCGGGACCCACCAGCGCCTCGAAAGTGGCGACACGGTCGCGGATCGCAGCCCCCCAAAGACGGCGAGGTCTACCTCAGATCCCCGCGGTGCCTCAGCCTGCTGGACCCACCAGCAGACCTCGAAAGCGGCGACAGTTTCGCAGATCGCAGCCCCCCAGGGACAGCGAGGTCCACCTCAGATCCCCGCGATGCCTCACTCAGCTGGACCCAACAGCAGCCCTCGAAATTGGCGACAGTTTCGCAGATCGCAACCCCCCAGGGACGGCGAGGTCTACCTCAGACCCCCGCGGTGCCTGACTCCGCTGGACCCACCAGCGGCCCTCGAAAGCGGCGACAGCGTCGCAGATCGCAGCCCCCCGGGACGGCGAGGTCTACCTCAGACCCCCGCGTCGCCTCAGTCCGCTGGGCCCACCAGCAGCCCTCGAAAGCGGCGACAGCGTCGCAGATCGCAGCCCCCCAGGGACGGCGAGATCCACCTCAGATCCCCGCGGTGTCTCACTCCGCAGGACCCACCAGCAGCCCTCGAAAGTGGCGACAGTTTCGCAAAACGCAGCCCCCCGGGGACGGCGCACACACACACACACACACACACACACACACACACACACACACACACACACACACACACAAACACACACACACACACACACACACACACACACACACACACGCACACTTTTGATCTGCGGGGCGAGAGCGAACCTCTTCCGCTAAAAGCTAGGCGGGCTACGCACAGCTGGAATTAGGGAGACACGGCACAGGAAGACGGGGCCTCAGGCGGCCGGAGCGGGCGGGGCCTGGAGGGCAGGCGGCGCCGAAGTGGATGCGCAAGAAAAAAAAAACATGTACAGGGACCGAGGGCGAAGACCCGGAAACCGAAGGAAATGGTGTTGCCGTCAACGGCACTTCGCGAACACCAGCCTCAAGCACTGCATGGGGGGACGCGCAACTTGACCAGGTCGACGCCCAGGAGGAAGAAGAGCACCACGAAGGCGACGAGCAACGTTGCGCCACCGGACGATGCGGAGGAGGCCCGGGTGGTCGTCCAATCCACGACCAGGTAGCAGCGCAGCTTGAAGTGCGGCCTCCAAACGAAAGGGCTGCCCATGACCGATAGTAAGTCGGTGAGCTGCAGGGGGGAAAACCTGCCCTGCATCGACAGCGCGCGAAGACGGGCAGCAGCCACACACGATGCGCTGACGTCCGCATTGCCAAGGGCCAGGCCTGAGCCGCGCAGCGACATGGCGAGCGGGGCCGCCGAGGCGGCGAGGCGCAGCGCCTAGCACCGGGCCGAAGCCGCGCAGCGCTGGGAGCTGCCGCCATGGGAGGGGGGGGGAAGCGAGCGGGGGGGGAGAAGCGAACAGGAAGGAGAAAGGCCGGCGCTCACCGCCAGCCGTCGACGTGCCAGCCCGCACCATCGGCGCTCACGTGGGAGGAGCTGGGCCCCCAGTGGGATCAGGTGGGACACACGGCCCCAATACACGTTAAAGACAGGAGGCGCACACACACACACACACACACACACACGAGGCACGCGCAAGACAAAAGGAAACAAGCCGGAAGCGGGGGCCGGGAGGCGCGAGGAAAAGGAGAAGCACGCGACCGCGGTGCTCTATTCAAAACGCATACCCAACCAAGGAGGGTTGGGAATAACAATAGCAATAATCACATCCCTCACATTCTTCATCCCCCCTGCCCAAGACGGCCTCAGCACCGCCAAGTGAACCGCACGGTCGTTGTTGTCGTCGTCGCGGTTTTCGTCGCCATCGTCGGCGGCGGCGGCGGCGGCAGACAGACGCACAGAAAGGGAGGGAGGGAGACAAAGAGGGTTACGACGACGACAGCAGGGACGCACAGGAGCACCGCAAAGGCCGCGTTTTCCCCATCCTGCTCCTCCTGCTGCTCTTCCTCCCTGTCTTGCTACACTCCTCATCCCCTGCGTCCGTTGCGTTGCGTTGCGTTGCGTTGCGCCTGGGAAGGGGGGGGGGGGGGGGCGGCCCGTTGCGCTGCGTCGCGTTGCGCCGGGGAAGGGGAAGCGCCAGCGAATGGTTTCGTCAACAACAACAACAACAACAACAACAACAACAACAATGATTTGAAGACTGATCACTTCTACCTGCTCGCGCGCCATTCAACGCGCACACCCCAACCCCTCCGCACCAGCCCCCTTCGCTTTCGATCGCACCCCACACCTGCGGGGGCACACGTTCCTTACCTGCTGCGCGCAAGCGGCGCAGCCCCTGAAAAGAGATCGGACGGAAGGGGGAGGGGGGTGAACGACGGGATTTGCAGGAGGGGGGCTCGGAGCAGAAAACACGCGGCAGAACCAGACGGGCTAATCGGGCGGATAGACCCTAGCGGGTTGGTCGGGAAGGCGAACCCAAGCGGCCAGGTCGAGCAGGTGGTCTGCTGAAGCGCGAGCCATGCAAATCGCGAGGAGGTCTCGAAGGATGGCGCGACCGCGAAGAGTATCGAAAACCACCCAAAAAAAAAACACGGGAGCGCGATCCCCGAGCGTCGAGGGCGCGGCGTCTGACTAAATTGCGCGGGTGCCCCACGCGAGAGCGCGGTTCCTCCATGCACTGCGAGAAGGTCCCGCGCGAGAGCGCGATTTGCAATAACGTGCGAGGAAAACCACGCGGCAGCCGTTGTCGTTGCAACTCGGGGGCCAGGGGCGCGCGGCGCGCGAGGCTGGGCTTGACCGCTGTCGCGATGACCTTCAACTCACGGTCCGAAAATTTCATCGGGGGGCGCTTTGCTTCCACCGTTGTTTCCACAAGGAGTGCGATCTGCACTGGTCGCGACAGGGCGACCTGCAGCGGGCCCTCCGGCCGCCGTTCAGTTCGCGACGCACTCAAAGCACCGAGATCATTGTCACGTTCACCCGGCGCTTCTCCGCACAATTTGCAACACCACCCGTCCGCCCGCGAAGGGGTCGCACGCTCGCGCGCGCGCCCAGCGCAGCGAACGCCGCCAAGACGAAGCATCTCCACGAAGACTGTCTCGCTAGACAGCGTCGCCTGGATATTTCACATGAATTGACTGTCCACCTCCAACACAAACGTCACGGCGGTCGAAGCATGGTCGATTTAAAAGCACGGCGTAAGAATGCTCCGTCGGCATCTGGCCCGTTCGCCGCACGAATGCACTGGCAAGAACACGATCCCACTCCTTCCGAGAGACCCCATGATAAAAGCATCAACGCCGGGAAACGCACACTCACCGAACATTGCCAACCCTGTTGCATGACCATCCACATTCTTCTTCGTTGGTACGCACTCCTTCCTCGTCCCAATGATGCAAGTGTGCCGCGTGGTCGAAATCGACTACTATCTCAACGATCTACGAATTATCAAACCCACACGTATCTCGCCACGCAACGGCTACAGAAAATCCGGAAATCAAAATTCGGCGCAGCTTCGCCGCGCTCAAACTGTTTTCGCCAGATTTCCAACGCTGGGCGCATTGCGGGTGGCGCCCACCACGTCCTTCTGTTTTTTTCTCCCGTCGCGCCGTCGATGGGCCCTTTGACGTCCAGGCGCTGCGCGCGGCCTGGCCCCGCCAACGGCCTGAAGGACGGCATGTGGGCGCTGCTCTCGACCATCAGAAGCAGCGGCTAGCTGGCCATGCATTGCACGTTGCCCACCCACTGCGGGGCGCGATCGGCTTCCTGGCCTGCTCGTCGGCGCTGCTGACGCGGGACTCCTCATGAATCGGGCCCCGCTTCGCAGCGCAAGAACAGGCAGCTTCGTGGTCCACGCGGAGCCAATCGATCGCCGTCGCGGCCCATGCAGGACCAGTCGGACGCACGCGTGACAACTAACAAAAGTGCATCGCGCTATGAGGGGAGCACGCGATAACCATGGACGACATGAACACAGCCGCGCGCTGGCCCAGTCTGCCCCTTGCTGCAAGGGTACCTGATGCTTCGGGCTCCACAGCTCAGAACGAAATTAACCGTGCGTCGCGTAGACCGACTCCATGACGGCCCTATATGGCCGCCGATAGAGGGGAACATGTGTCAACGCACTCCACACATGTTCCCGCCTCTTTCGTCGACCGCGCTACATATCCGATCAAGCGGAAATCCCCCGTCGAAGGGAAGCGCAGAAAGAGCGAGCTACCAACGTTGCCCTATCTAGCTGCCATGACATAGGAAAATCTGTTCACAACCTTCGACACATGTCCCCGCCACTGTCTGCGTCCCAGCCTCCCTTCCACCGTGGCCGTTGCGCTGCGTGCCGCTACGTATCATTGATCGCGGTAGCGCGCCTGGGCATCGACTCTGGGTGGCCCTTGCTGGCTGCCCCTGCGGGTCATTCAAGCAATTCCTCCAAAACCTCGCCTTGGCGTTGATTCTGGTTGAAAGTACGATGTGGTGTTCCACTGGGGCGGAGAGGACACCAAGAAAACAGCGAGGCCCCGGATGACCCCAAGCCGCCGCGGCACGGGATTAACCGTCCAACCATTCAGAAAATGTCCCCGCCGTTTCTGCGCCCCCGAAACGCTTACAAGCCCGCTGTTCCACTGCGTGCTTCTATGCTTCCACGATCAGGGCAACTCGCCTGGCGATCGTATCTGGATGGTTTTGTGGATATGCTCTATGGCACGCGGGCGCGCGAAACCCAGTCGAACGCCCAGCAAGCTAGGGCGGGGCGCGATGTAGTAAACAGCGAAGTGAGCAGCGCCAACCACAGAGCGGAACAGGGCGCGGCGGGAGGCATCACACAGGCACCGAGAACACGTCCACGAAGATGCCGATGAGGACGCCGGCGTAGAATGGGCGAGAGCGACCGCCCACATGTCCATAGCGAGCGGTTTGCGAGGATACTTTTTGTCGCAGCTGCAGGCCAACGGGTCCGACAGCATCAGCTGAGTTAGCTCGGGCCACGAGCAACTCAGCTGCCGGCGCGCGCGCCGAGCAAGCGGGCGAAATAGAACCTGTGCGATGCGATGCGATGCGATGCAATGCGACCACAGTTGTGGACAGCGCCCGGGCCTAAAGCAGACCAGGTGGGTGAGGCCATGGCCTCTAGGATCTGAGGTGTCTGGGTTCATGCAGTGCGAGACATGTGAAAACTTAAGAGGGGAGGGGGAGGAGGAGGAAAAGAAAGTCCTTGGTGTCGGTGTCGGCGCGGGTTGGGCGAGACGTCTCGACGTTCGCAGAGATTTTACGTCATTGGTCTGAGTCCCGGGTGCTGGTCGACATGAGGTCGGTGAAGTGGTGCTCGAGCGCTGTCCATGCTTCGGTGTCTTGGGCTGTTTGCGTCCCTGTGATGTCGTTCGGTTGTCCTTTCGAATGGGCTTGCGTGGGCGGTCGGTGGAAGTCTGGTCTGCGCTGACGTAAGTAAGTGGTAATTTTGTCGTCCCATCGCTTGTTTTGGCCACCGTGCTGCCTGTGTCCCCGCTGGCGCGGGTTGAGGACTGGGTGCCAGCGCAGCACTCGCCATGTCCACCTCGGGGATACTTTTTTCGTCGCGGCCGCAGGCGAGCGCGCCAGCAGCGTCGAACGTCGGGCGGGCTACGCGCGAACCTAATTGCCTAGCGCACGGGGACCGACGGCCGAACCTAAGCTGCCAAAGCTGCCTAAGCTGCCGGGCTGCGCAGGTGGTGCCAGGAAGCGGGGCAGGGCCCGAAACCTTGTCGGCGGAACTAAACACCTCGGGGATACTTTTTTGTTGCCAGCCGCAGGCGAGCGCGCCGACGGCGTGTCAAGGTCCGAGCGGGCCGCGCGAGGTCCGAAATTACCTAGCAAGAGCAGACCAACCGCCGCACTCAGAACGGGACCGGGAGGTAGCCGAAGAGGGGGCGGAGCTGCAGAAATGCCAGGGGCTGCAGACGTGCGTCGAGCTGCAGGCGCGGTGCTGACTGCCAGGGGAACTGACTGCCAGGGTCTGCAAGCTGCCAGAAGTGAATTGAGCAGCAAAACGCGGACAACCGCTGTAACTGGAAGGGCTGCCAGGGTGGCCTGAACCGAACCACCTCGGGGATGCGCGAAGCGTCACGAATTCGGAATATTCCTTCTCCCTCCGAAGCGGTGGAGGCGCCTCGCCCACACGTGCGGCCAGGCCCGGAAGGGCACGGGCGAGCCCAGCTCGTGGGCGCCGCTGGCCTGGAGGGCCGGGACGCAGAGGGCCTGGCGGGCGAGCCCGGCTCGGCTGGCGCTGGCGGAGAGCACGCTATCCAAGATCCCCCTCGCTCCCTCCCTCCCTCCTCCCATCCCTCCTCGTTATCTTCCTCCTCCTCCTCCTCCTCCTCCTCCTCCTCCCTCCTCCTCCTCCTCTTCCTCCTCCTTATCCTCCTCCTCCTCCTCCTCCTCCTCCTCCTCCTCCTCCTCCTCCTCCTCCTCCTCCTACTCCTCCTTGTTCGAAGGTGAATGCGAGCGTAAAGGTGTAAAGGATATGAAGGAGTCAGGGTACAGGAAGCAAAGGTGCAGACTCCCCCCAAGAAAATGTGAACAACAAAAGCAATAATTCGTCAACATTTGGAAACCGAGCATGGCTATACACAAGTTGCACTCGTCTGAAAACCACTGGGGTCGCCATATGATGGTGGCATCCCTTCGCAGAGGAAGGGAGCGAGGATGAGGGATGATGAGAATCCAAAAAAAACAAAAAGCTGCAACTACCTAAAAAGCTGTCACACAACATAGCAAGTGGCGACGGATAGGAGGACCTGGGGGCCGACGAATGGAAGGGGGATCCGCCAGGGAGGGCAGGGGAAAGGCCAGAGGGAGGGGGAGCCAGGGACGAACCGCAAACGAACGAACGAATCATGAGAGAACAAAAAAGGGCTCCGCGGCCCAGTCGGGAAGGAGGCCAGGGAGGCCAGAGAGGAACCACGGACTGACGAATGGCAAACAAAAACGAGAACAAAGGGTTCCGCGGCCATGGGGGCAAGAGGCCAGGGAGGCCAGGGACGAACCGTCAGAGGAACTAACCACCGGCACAAACAAGGATTCCGCGGCTCGAGGGGGGGGGGGGCGGAGGCCACGGAGGCCACGGACGAACCGTCAGAGGAACTAACCACCAGCACAAACAAGGATTCCGCGGCTCAAGGGGGGGGGGGGGCGGAGGCCACGGAGGCCACGGACGAACCCCAAACGAACGCACCACGCACGAAAAAAAGGGTCCCGCGGCCCAGTCGAGGAGGCCAGGGAGGCCAAGGACGAACCACAAACGAAAGAACCACGAACGCACAAACAAAAAGGGTTCCGCGGCCCTATCGGGGAGGAGAGGGCCAGGGAGGCCAGGGACGAACCACGAACGAACGAACCACGAATGAACAAAAAGGGTTCCGCAGCACAAGGGGGGGAGGAGCCAGGGAGGCCAGGGAGGAACCACGAACGAACAAATCGCAAACCAAAAAAAAGGAGTCCGCGGACCTGGGGGGATGAGCCAGGGAGGCCAAGGACAACCCACGAACGAACGAACCACGAACAAAAATACAAGGGGAGGAGGTCAGGATGGCCAAAGATGAACCGCGAACGAACGGACCATGAACGGAAATACAGAGGTCCGAGCTCTAGAACACAGCTGTGCAAGAGAATACTGCTAGGTGTCATGACTTCAGTCGAAGAAAAACAATACCAGTGTACAAAATAGCTGACTGGCCCATTGCCGTCAAAGCACTGCCTTTTAGATGTTTCCCAACTCCTGTAATGCCTTGACATGTCCGGTCACGCTTCCATTCACAAGAGGTGAGCAGAGGAGGATGGACCAATGAGGAGGGAAGAGGCGTGAGGAATTGCTGAGAAATGACCATCCACCGACCCTCGGCGTGTGCGAGAAGCCTGGTCCTCGTCGCCGTCGCCGTCGTAGTCTTCGTCGTCGTCGTGGTCGTCGCCGCCGTCATCGTCGTCGCCCTCGTCGTCGTCGTCGCCTGTCCCCAGGAAATTGAACAACTAAGAAAACAAACGTAGTAGTTGAGCTGATTCCTCCCCTTATTCCCCCTCCCCGACGGGCGGGGATGGGGGGGAGGGGTGGTTGGGGGAAAGGGGGAGGGTGGGAGAGGGGGAGGGAGGCGATCCCGGGTCAGAATACCGCGCCCCCCCCCGCCCGCGAGGTTCTGGCGGATCCCTGGGAGGGCCGGGGGGGGTCGCCAATGGGGGTCCTGGGGGAGGTCCCGCCTTCGGGTCGGCAGCACCGGCCGTCAGGCCTTCGCAATACATACAATCAACGAAGCAAATGGAACAGCGAAATGGAAGGAGATGGGGAGTATGTGCGTTGACGAAAAAAAAAAACTCAAATGCTCAAGCCAAGGCTACGTGCTACCTCATGCTGATTTTCGGGGTAGCATGACTCAGGGTTTACTTCTTCTTTGGCCTCAGAACGCTGCGCGACCGCGGAAGACCTCCCTTCCGTGCGCGGAGCTGCCTCCCAGGCCACAGACGGACTGTGGAACTCCGACGAAGCCCACGCACTCCATCGCCGCACCAGCTCCTCGGAATCGACCTGATTGTAGACTGCACAACCGGAGGGTACCGCGGGGCATGGCTCCACGTCCTCTGGGCCACAGCTAGATGAACGGGAAATCGCTATGCTCATCCACGAATGCGTCTACACATGCACACGCGCGTGCACATGCACTTGAATGCGTACACGGACGCCGACTGATCACCGTCAACACAGCACTTGCCAAGCGCCGTGTTTCAACAATAAACCATTGTTCACTATTTGGCGCACACGAAATAGTGAAGACCAAAAAAATGTTCCAAGATATCTAGGTTTTGTGTGAGTGCCGCAAAGCATGTGAGACTATGGAAGCGGGAGCACCCTATGCGGCCGCGAAACATGTGAAGGTGTGCCGGAAGAAGCTGGGGGACGCATGCAAGTCCTGACGCTGGGAACTTCGAAAGAGCTCCCTATGGGGTCACGAAACGCGTGAGGGGTGTGCCGAAATGGGCCCGGGAGCGCTGTGCGAACCCTGCCACTGGGGCCTTCAGTGGAGCCCCCTTATGAAGCCACGGACGTTTGAGGGGCGCGCCGACGTCGGACGGGGAACGCACGCGGTTCTGCCACTGAGCCTTCGATGGATCTCCCTGTGGGGCCAGGATCCTCGAAAAGGGCGTGCCGAAATGGGAGCCCAGAGCGCATGCGAACCCTGCCACTAGGGCCTTACCTCTCCGTGGGGCCACGAAACACGCGAGGGGTGTGCCGAAAGGGGCTGGGGGACGCATGTGCACCCTGCCACTGGGTTTTTCGGTGGAGCTCACGGGTTTTCGAATCTCTCCTCCCCGCTTCCTCTTTCTCCCCAGGGTGCAATTTAACGTGCGTCTTGTCATGCTCAGCGCGGTCCGATTTAAATACTGTTCGCTGGTTTCGTCCGTCTCATTAAGGAAAAGCTGCAATTACAAAGGCTCTCTCTGCAGACTGAGGCGAACACCAAGTTCCCTAGCAATTGGGACCGTCACTCTTGGAGACCCGATCTTACATAATGTGCACTGGTTTCCTTTCTTTGGGACGACAAACCCAGAAGCTACTGCGATACACCACGCACTTTTCTGTAAGCATAAACACATATAGACACGGACATAAATATAACTTTGCTTACAACAGCACTACTACTAACAAGAATAAGAGCAATAGGAAAATAATAAGTTTGTGGAGCAACGAAAAAAAACTCGAGTACCCACTCGGGTGGCGAATCTTCCCCACATCGTTTTAGCTGATATTCTTGAGCAGGCCGAATGTGTAAAGCTGAAGAAATTGGCCATTACATTGTTGTTTGATCTATATCCTTCCCACTTCTTTCACAACATACGGTCGAGCGTCGGGGATGGAAGTACTCCTAAGCGGCACGGCCGTGTCACTCCAGCAGTTTCACTTATTGTTCCAAACCGAACGACGACGCCCAACATGCCACGAATGCCTCATTCCCGGCGTCCAAATAATTTGCGTTTCGCCGAACCAGTGGCTCACGTGACTAAGCCGGTCAAATGCGGCTGAAAACAAAGGCTACAAGCACGCCTGAGTACCCAATGGCTGTCCAGGCGCGCAGCCAAGCCATGCTAGGCGCCGTTAACAAATACGGCGGTCGCACGCGGGAACAATTTCGCCTGCTGCGGTCGGGCAACAAAGGCCAATGGAAATTGTCTCGCTACTCGAATGCAAACCACTAAAACTGCTTCGCCGCCTCCTCGTGGACCACGCGGCGCTTGGGCGACCCAGGCAGCAGAAAAGGCCAACGAGTTTGAGCGATCTTGTGAAGAACAATGGCAGAGCCCACTCATGGCTTCGAACACGCATTCAAATCTTCCACTCCCCCCCGAACCCCCTCCGCCCACCTCCATCCGCCCCCGCCCTGCATCACTGTTCAGGATGTGCGTTGATAGCGGCGCCAAGCCTGATCTGGTCACGGCTCGCGACTTGAAGTGCTGCCATCTGGAGTTGTCTTCTCAAATCATTATGCCAGCGCGGCGGATTGCGTCTTGCGGGGAATGGCCGCGCGCCCGCACCACGCACTGGATCCATCCGCTCTGTTCTCGACAATTACAATGGAAGACGTTTGACTCCTCAGGTGCCCAAGGCTGCGTGCGGAGCGCCTGCTTGCTTCTCTGTTCGCCACCTGGCTCGGCAGGGAAGTCCGCCTTGGAAACTTGCTCGCGCGCCCAACAAAGGATCCCGAGAAGTGATTCTGCAACGCGTAAAAACTTGCCCTTGCTGCTTCTGCCACGGGAACGCGCCCGGTTGCACACGCTTCGCACGTCTCCGGGCCGTTTGACAGGGCCTCAACACAGCGCACGAGAACTATTACTAATGCATCAAATACTCTTTTCCCCAATACGCAATACGCACGGCAAGCTTCCAAGAAATCACCCTTGCAGATGGTGCCCACGCGTTCAAACTGTCAACGCACCCAAAGAATCACGCCAAGGCCTTCGCGGCAACGCATAACTGTCAGCAGGCGCACAGCATTTGGGGCCAAACGCGCGGAGTCGCGGTCGACGCCCAAATACTGCACGCGCAACCTCACCCACTCTCGCCCTCACGGATGCAACTTCCACTCGTTCGGCGCGGCGTTCGACTGCAAAGTCTCAATGAGTGATGCGATATCCGATTGGCCTTCCCGTTCAAGCCTACATTGCCGCAACTACCACAGCTTTCAGGATGAAACTTCCTGCGCGAAATCCACACCTTCTCCCACATGGCTGACAGGAGGCAAGTATTAGCCACGCCTCGTCGCCATCTTTTCAAGCGCTAGATCCCGCACAGCATAATCTGAACGCGCCCTGGATGCAGCTGATGAAAATGCGATAATCGAGCATCGCCTCGCGCGATTGTACGCCCACTGGAGCGTTGCTATCTTTGGCCGTACTCACAGCTGCGCAGTTGGGCCGAGCTCGAGCCACGTTCCCCAAATTTATCTGCCCATCGCATTCGCTCACCACCCCTCGCTCCGGTCGCCCCCGCCCCGCCCGCCCCCACGGCGGGCGCCCCTGGGGCCCGCGCAACGCGGACCAGATTTCGCGGCCCGGCCTGCTCCTGGAGACCCGCGCTTGCACAACGCTCCCCAAGCCAGAAAAATTCAACGGCCATCTGCCCACCATTGTCAGCACTGTCTACGCTCCCCCCCTGCAATCTCGGGCCCACCTGGGACACGCGCGCCAGCAGTGCCTGCTGAGTTGGCACCCTGGCGCCATGCCCCATCGCGCCAGGGCGCCTTAGTGAATTTCTGCCG